GAAGATTACTCACAAGTGACGTCTTCACGATACGCCCTGGCGATCGCACATCGCTATTCTCGACATTCTCGAGGCTTATTAACGCGCGAGACTCATTTTCGACGGATAAAGGACGCGAGAAACGCGGAGCGATGTGGATCGATGTGTGCCCATGGCTGCTGCTTGGCACGAAAAGATCGAGCATTTCGCGCGATTCATTACCAACCCCTAGATTGAATAACAATGATGACAACCTCGTGCGAAACGAACGCGATTGGTCTAGAGTGGTTAGTAACTCGAGCAAGTGGTTAATGCAGGATTCACATCATGTCCGATGTTCGACATACGATGTCCGATATTCAATAAAAGAAAAGCTTTCCAATGGAGAATTGAATTCTATATTAGAAAGCTGTTTTCCTATTGGATATCGGACGTTGTACGTCGGACATCGGACGCGGTGTAAATCCTGCATAAGGCGTCCGCCGTAGATCGCGTCGTTGTAGACGCGCAACCTCGTTCGCATCACTGGTGCGTTCACATTCATGCACTTTTGGCACTTTCAGCGCGCTAATAAACTTTTGGTGATTGACAGCGCGCGCGTCTGCGATCTTTTTATACTGAGCAACTGCCCTGGACACAACGTTCCATTTTCTATACGCTTTTCGTTCCATTTTCTTTCGTTTGTATCCTGTGAGTCTCCTGCGGAAATAAGTATTAGAGTGCCGAAAACAACGACGGTCGTCGGGACATATCGCAAGTACATTATTACGGAGTAATCTCTTGCCTTCTCGACACATACAGCTAAAGTGACCAGACCTTCCCGATTTTTCACCCTTTGTCCCGAATTTTTTCAAGTGCTATTCGGGACATCGATTCGTCATCATTTTCAATGATTGTAAAATAATTTTCGGATCTTTTTATCCCCCTCCACCCGCTTCACACATTTATGAAGTGTCCCGAATTCAGGGCTGGGAAATCTGGTCACCTTTTTATTTATGCACAGCATTATTGCTCACGTAACTATTATCTTTATCGTTCCTTCAGTTCCGTTCCTTCCTTTTCACTCCTTATAAATCTCCAAATCTTATTAAGATTTTCAACGCCTATAAAAAATGATAATTAACAGATTATGAAAGAGGAAAGTTTGTCCTTTGTTTATCCATATTAATAACTTAATATATGCGTATTATATATACTCTATTTGCAGTTGAGTAAATTACATGATTAATGCATTACTTATTGAAACTAAAGAGAGATTAAATGCAGATGCAATATTGAGATCAGTGAATATTAAATGAGCCTGTTTAAGCCTCAACATACAGAAAACGACACTGAGTAACTATTCGCATCAAATGCAAAAAGTATAACATTTGTACTAATTTGCGATACAAAACGATAAACATATCCTTTTAACAAAAGACTTAAAGAAACTTAAAATAATATATATATATATATATATATATATATATATATATATATATATATATATAACGGAATCACGGAAGCAATAACTCGGAATAGTTCAGTTATCGTAGACTAAGCCTGTATTAATTAAGTACCAGTGAGATAATCTCGAATACTCATAATGCTGCTGAGAGACAATAAGTAGTAACAGCAGTACTAAGCAATTTAAAAGATGACTGTGCCTCCCGCAGGACATCCCACGCGTACGGCACTGGGGATGAAATTTATGGCCACAGTCTCGCGGCCAGGGCCATTCATCAGGGACGATCGCGAATCTCAATCCTTGTGCACCGACTTGACAGAGCTCGTCGGAGAAAGACGGAGAACGCCCTGCGGATGTAGCTCGTATTACAAAGAGATCCAGCGAGATCCACACGCTTTATCAAGAAGGAGAGAAAGAAAGTCTCGCGCGATTCTTCCATGCAATTTGTCGTGCACGGTCTCGTAACCCTTCAGCCGCACGGGCTTTACGACGCACTTAAACCGCTCTTAATAGAAAACCTGCCGACCTTAGATCGAATTAATTTGATTTTATCGCCATTCGCGAGGGACTTTTTTACGGCGGCTCTTGAAACGCCATTGAATATAATAATAGCTACCCCCGTCGTCCCTGCCCTCGCCTGTTGCACGGTCGACGAGTGGAATCACGGCGAATCGCTGCTTTCAACGACAACGCGAGAAGTGACTGTCGCAATTCTGCCTTCGGTAATCTTAATGACACCGCGAGAAATGATTGTCGCAATCGTACCTTCGTGTACAGGCAGAAAGAAAGAGAGAAAGAGAGAGAGAGAGAGAGAGAGGGAACTCGGTGTGGCGAGAAGGCATTAATTGAGCGGCGCGCAACGTCGTGATTACCGCACCTCTCCGCGGAATCCCATAAATAAAATCTTAACCGCGACTGATCGCCAACACCGTCGGCTAACCGTGCAACCGTAGCGTGTCGTTCCGCTAGCTCATTGTCATCGATCTCGGTGATCGAGTACTACGACCCACTTAACGGAGAGTACTTTGCCACAGTTGTTAGTGCACGCGACAAGAGAATATACAGATCCAGCGTAGTAAAACAAATACTCGTTACGCAGTTCAAGTGTGAAATCGTGAGACCTGGTTTAGAAAATTTTTAACGGCTCGTCCAAGGAGATTTACGCGGCGACGCGCTTCTATACTGAGAGAAAAAGTGGAAAGCTATGACTATAATCGCATGATGAAAGAATTATAATTAGAAGAAGTATTTCTGTAGAGCAAGTTCTGTCTTACAATAAAATTAAATTCTCTCCCGTGTGTTGTTAATAATAATAAACTTATATGCATATTGCCGTTACTATACTTTTGTTAAGACAAGAAGAAGGAATAATGGAGGGCGAGAATAACTATAACTTCAGTGAGATCAGCCGCTTTTTTCTCGCAATGTAAGAGACGCGACATAATAAATTCAATACTTTCTCTGCGGTTTTCTTTCACTTGATATCGTGACAGAAATGCTCGTTCCTCGCGCATCGCGTAACAGCTAAACTTTTTTAATCCGCTCGCGCGCTTCCGCGTTCCGAGCTGAGTGTTACCAAGTGATTCGCCGAAAAGGCGCGTGTTGATTTTCAAACGCGTAATACACGCCGCCAATTTTCGCACTGCGGGAGTAACCTGCGGGGTCGCGAAGCGGCGAGCTTTCTATCACGCACAATGCGCACCATATCCATTGCCAATCACGAAGAAGACGATGTAATTACGAGTCGACGCGACGCGGTCGTTCATGATGCGACACGTGTCGGCTCCGTTAGCGTTTCTCGCGTGCTGATTTTGTAAACTTTCAATTAACCGCGAAATCTTTATTCCTGACGCGACACGCCGGTCGATCTGGCTTAACATTTTAACAAGCGGGACGGAAGTCAATAGCTGTTAGCTCACTGTTCGTTCCGTCTCGGGAAGGAAGCGAGAGAGTTACAAGTAGTAAAAGACGATAACAGACGTCCATCATGTTCCGTGACGCGCAGATGTTGTTTTAGCGATGGAGATGAATTTCCGGGAATGGTACCGATCATTTCTTAAACAAAAATGTCTCATAAGCTCTTTTTCTCCCTCTTTCCTTTTTTTCTGTCTCTTGAAGCTGCCTCGCTAAAGGCTCGTTTACAATATGCGAAGTAAGTATTGCATAAATTAAAATAAGAAATAATTTACTTCGCTTATGTCTATACTCCAGCTTCCTTACACCGGAAGTATTTTTCTTACTTCAAAAGAATACTTCCGATGTAAGGGAATTAGAATACATACATAAAAGTGAAATAAATTACATTTATTTCTTGCTTCAACTTACGCCAAGTTTACTTCGGATATTGTAGACGAGCCTTAAATGTTTGGTTTCATATCCCGCGAGAACAGTCGCGAGCGTCTATATTTATATCGGGCATTAATTCTACGTCAATTATCGGGACGACGACCGATCGGAACGCAGACGACCAGATGCGAGCGGAAATCGGTACATGCAAGCAGTGACTCAGGGCAATTAGAGCCGATTAAAGGCGGGCTAAATGCGGCCCAACGATACGGATAGCTTCTGCGGCGTGTCGCTCGGTAAACGCCTAGTTTGTCGCACAGACAAACCGGAGCAAAGTGAGTCAGGTTAATTGAACCCAATTAGAACCAGGGCGGCTACGAGCCGATCGCGTCTAGCTTTTCTTTTTCCTTTCTTTTTTCTCAAAGACCGCGTAATTTCATGCAGCCTCTGGTCTCCTCGTTGCTCCCGTTTAGACAAACGTGACGCGCGTTATGACGGGAAAGCCCGACGACCGAGGCTGCGTCCGAAGGTTCGCTCTCGAGATTTATAATCGACGCGCGCCGACGACGTGCAGACGTGTTCGCGAAAGCACGCTCTTTACCGCGCAGACACCCGCGACAAGCTCGCCATTTCTTCCCGAGAGAAAATCAATCTGCAATTCACGAGAGGACCCGCACGAGATAGATGGATAGATGAATAGATTTATTACGCATTCTCTGGAAAAGAATTTCCCTCAAGCGTGAAAAATGGAATACAAATCAAATTGAAAGAAGTAAAAGTGACAAGAAAGAAAAAGGTGAATAGATGAATCTATTCTGCGCTAGAGAAACTTCCTCCCAAGTGCATCTTAAATAGAACATATAAAACTACAAAGTAATATAAAATAAAGAAAAATATTAGAGAGAGAGAGAGAGAGAGAGAGAGAGAGAGAGAAAAAGAGAGAGAAACACACACGACAACGGTTCTCAGGGTACTTCGTATAACTGCATATAACGAGAGTATAAAGCTCCGAATGACCTCCCACGTGATATTATTTACCAAGTTGTTCATGGGTCTTGCGGGGCCCTAACTTCGCGCCGCGGGGTGATATTCACTTACATCGCAAGACTTCCGCGTGATCGTTTCCGCGTCGCAGTATAAATATTAAGGCGTAAGAACGAGTATACAAGCGTCCAACGAGTCTCTCAAGAGCACTTCACGGACCCTCTCGGGATACAATGTATCGTTTACGATGTTGATCATTCGAACGGCCCTCAGTAAAATTTATTTATTTCTGATTTTATTGCAGGCCAAGAGTATGGAAGGTACTTACCGCCCGGTGAGGCTAATGTTCAACAATCATACGGAATGCGAGTGCAGAGAAAAGACGCCCGAGATGCAGAGAATCGACCAGTCTCCCTCGTCTCCGCAAAACATGAAGATAACGCCGTCGATAAAACTGTAAGTTTTTAAAGATATACATTTTTAGTCAGCGCGATGACACAATGTATAAAATATTATATTTACAAATTGGCAAATACAAATCTGCCCGATGTGAAAAGAAATATGTAAAAAATAAAAAATACTTGGTGGGTATTTATACCATTTCAATGTAAATTATGTTATTTAAATATAGAAGAAACAATTGTTGCCATCAAAGCTAAGGTTTTAAGAAAATGTATATCTTCTTGTTTGAAGAATATTTTATATTAGTGAATAAATAAATATGTGTCATTGGTACCCATCAAATATATATATTTTATATTTTTTATAGATATTTTATATTTTATATTTTAGATTTTTATATTTTAGATATTTTTCCTCTAAGTGTATTCGTACGCAAGAAAATGATCCGAATTGAACGAGGAAGATTTTTATCATTGCATTATTATATAAGCAATTAAAAAAATTTACAGATGCAAGTGTACGAAGTATTTCGTGGCGAGACGATACCCACAAGGAGACTGTCGATGCGAATGCCCAGATAAGAACGATAATTGTAAACCGATCAGTAAAGGAAAGAGAATTCTCGATTATGAGGACAGAGAGTGAGTATTTTTATGTGTATGACTGTGAAAATATTCCAGCGAGCGCGCGTATCGCAAATTTAAAAATAAAACGATCGTAAAGCGACACCGCGGTGCTTACATACTAATCGCCGACATTTACAAGACAAAATAGCGTACCGCTTGTCGTGCGCGTAAAACTTTACCGTAATCACACGTGAGACACGCTTAAAATGCAACTTGACTTTAAGCACGCTTTGTCGACCGACCTCTATGTAAATTGCAACGAACGCATACGCGAACAATTGTTCCAGTAACCCCGTTCATACACGGAGACAATATTGTAGCTTTTGTTTTCATATAAATTCTTTTCCATTTTGCTCTGTTTCTAGTAGTGCAGCAGTAGACCATTAACAAGTCCTTGCTAAGAAACAGCAAATTTCACTAAAAATATGGCAAATTTTCTAATAATACACTTCAGTTTCTACTTTCTAAATTTCTTGGAGTGAAAAGTAATAGTATTTCCACCTGAAGCGATAATGAAAATACTGCTACTCTAAATCACAAGAGTGAATGTTTTACTGAAGATTAAAGTGAGTTCTAAGCGGATATTTTAATCGATTGGACTAGACATGTTCTCTTAGCGACAGAAATACATCAGACTAACTCTTCAATTTCGAATAAAAATATCCAATGAATGAACTAACGAATCCAATGAATGAACCAACGAATGAATGATTCAGAATTTACCCTATAGAAGTGAAAAATAATTCGAATTCGAGTGTGACTCAGTAGCAACTTAACTTTTCTAATGAAATTCCATTCCAAAAAATGTAGAGAGTAAAATATAAGCAGCACACATGAAATGAAAGGATAGTTAATTATTAATGCAAAATGTTGACCTGTCCCGGCCATAAAATTCTACAGTAATTTTTGCTATAAAAAATCCTCTTCGCAAAGATTAGTATGATTAAAAAGAATTAATCGAGCGATAATAGATAATATAGGCCGGTTCTAGCCCAAAACAATCAAGATCTAATAAATGTTGAAGTAGAACCAGCCTGCTATATTATCTGCTAACGCTTCTTCGCGGACAAATCAGACACTTAATATAGCGAGAGGACCGCTTGGGAAAATTCACACACCGATGATCGCAAGAAACACTCGGGAGAAAAAAAATATTCTCTAACCAATCGGACACGATCTACAGTATAACGTTTCAATAATCAATTTTATGTTACAAGCAATTTTTCGTCTCCGCAGGTGCGTCAGAAATAGCGAGTGCACGACACCTACTTGCGAATTCGGCACATACAGATCCTGGGAATACAGGTGTCCGGCGAAGAAAGACACATTCGATGCGGCCGCGAACCACGTTATGGGATCTCAGCGCCAAATAAGGAGGAACGAACGAAGGAATCGCACAGGATAGGCGGATGTCGTGCCAATGTAGCCGGAAATGTAGCGCGCGTCTGTCGGGGCGCGCGGGAAACCGATGGTGCCATTTACTTTTCTTTTTTCTATCAAGTGCCTTCGTCAGAGACACTCGTTTATATGTGTACGTGTAAACCCCCCCTTTTCCCCGCGGCATTATGTATAAATGTACATCGCTATCTAGGACGCGAGCGTGGAAGTGTCGTCGTCGTCGTCGCCGCTTCTTTCTTTTTCAAACGCGATCGAACGAGAATACGAGATGATAATGACGACGCTCGCCGACTTTCGATAGCAGTGATCGTCGCGGGGATACAGTAAAAATAGTATTTCGTTGGTTAAGTGATAAGGAAAGCTTATGGCGTCGATTCGTAGTGGCGATTCGCTAATGGTGAGACAGGGACAGAAAAAGAAAGAAAGAGAGCGAGAGAGTTGAAGTGAATTAACCCCTCGCGTTGGCACTTATTCGGTGAACTTTTAGAACGTATAAATGGATTTAATTTAAGTTACTTAACTTCACATTCAAAAAGAATGAAAATACAATCTGTAACTCTATTCAATACTTTACCCTATCTCGTAGAATTTTTTTAAGTATTTCCTTATTATAGAATGATAAGAATAAATTTCATGATTTGCGATAAACAATATGCAGATTCCGCTAGCAAAAGCACAATGTCTGGCAGACGTCATTCCAATGCAAGGGGTTAAAACAGAAATAAGATCAACAAGTTAAACCCGATCGGAGAATTCCGAATCGTTCAAGTCAAGAACTAACGGATCCCATACAGTTCCCTGTATCTGGGATAAAATGACGTGTATTAATAGCTATCATCGCGAAGCTATCCAGTGATAGAATGCTGCGAGTAATAGTTTCCGGAGAGAAACACGATTGCGAAGGAAGTATATGCCTACCGAGGATAGTGTGGTGGCCGTTAACTGACTATGTCAACTGACATCCCATGGCGAGCCGCCGAAATTACATAGATCTGAGAGGACGCGACACGTCTCTCGAGTTAATGGTAATTTTATGCGATAAGCGATGCCTCGATTATCATAGTTTACGCTGAGAAGACCTCGGACGCGAGCCTAGTCTGAGATCCTGTCTTCGTTCTGCGCGAGAGGACGCTCGTTTAATCTTGGGACTACATTCGACGAACTCATTAAGATCTTTCCGATTGCCGCTCTTTCGACTGGACGACTGGCTAGGCCGGAAACATATTTACGAAAATAGCGTGTCCGACGAGATAAGATACCAAGATCCGAGCAGAAGCAGAAGCGGGCGATCGATCGCGCAGAATCGAGACAGATCATCAATGTATCCACATTTTGTATGTTACACGATAGAGTATCTTTATTGTGTTTATAATCGAGCATTAATATACGCCACGTTCGTTAATTTAATATTTAATCGATACAGAGAGAGAGAGAGAGAAAGAGAGACGTGTAAACAGCCCGGAGCGCTACTCTTGCGCCTTCATCCAGGTGATGCAACACGAAGAAGGTTCTAAAACGTCGCGTACGGTGCAGCCGCGTGTTTGTAACTTTGTATTTTCTATGTTATTAATGAGAAACACACACACATACACACACATACACAGCAAACTAGATATCGCGAGGTAGGTCAATTGTGTGCGTCGACTCGTATCGCGCGCTTGGACTATACGACTGTCCGTGAGAAACAGCCGTTATATTGTTAATATCGCCGCTTCTTTACTACGAAAGGAACTATGATTATCTGAGAATATAAAATATATTAATTACACAATCGCACGTTTCGCTTTCACTGTATCCTTCACCGAGCCACATCCTCGAACAAATCCCCAAGTTGTTCTTTCCGCTTCGCGGATAAGTTCTCTCTAACTTGAATAACAATAATAATGTTTTATGCTTTGCGATTTATGATTTCACCTCAGTTTTTCAAATCAGTTTTTCTTTTTCTTTTCAAGTTGCCACTCAAGCTGGCTCAAAGCAGTTTCTAGGATAAGATGTTCGAATATCCGCAGTCGAAAAGTCGTACAAAAAGCGAGCTTTGAAGCAAGTGTAACGGGTGTTTCGCGTTTCTCAATGAGGCTACGGAAGAGGACCACAAAAAGCTATTTAAATCGTGGGAAGAGAAGAGGCGTACCAGTGCACGTTTTGAGAAGTGTCGTTTGTCAACACGAGATAGAAAACGCAACGCGAGTCGCGTCGCGCACAAGTTTCGGACGAAAAAAAAATTTCCTACGCTTTTATATATATTATACATATACTTTTGTACGTGTGTGTGTATGTGTATATATATATATATATTTTTTTTTTTTTAACTATCATAAGAATCGAAATACACGATCGTCATTGACTATTCTTCATAATAATACACCCAATTATAGTCGAACTACATTCACTTTTTAACAAAATCAAAACCGAATGTCGTCGATAGCTAAGATCGGTTCGGCTGATGTTATCGTGGATCTGTTCAGGATTCTGACCGAAGACTGAGGTTAGTTAATGATAGCGACATCGTTTATATTTTGAATTTCATTAGAAATTTCGATCAAAAACGACTTTCCACTTGCTCATGGAGAATATATCAATATTGATATATTCTTCGTTATTAACCATTGTAAACATCCGCTCTATGAGACAGTATCCGATCTACTGAAAGCGACTGTCATTGGCCATATTATATGTACTCTTGAGCCAAACTTTGCAGTAACGCGAAAGGATCAATGATAAATTTCAATATTCTATTCGAATATCCTCGATAAGAATTTGTAGAAATGAAATGAGTCTGAAATTTAATATTGTTTTCTAAATTTCTTGGAGTGAAATATCACTGAAAACGAGTGAAAATTTACACGAAGCAATATAAAGAATATTGTCACTCAAAATGGAACGAGTGAATGTTTCTATCAATTCAGGTAAATTTGTTCCTGTGACAATAGAATACATTATATTCATTATTGAACATTTCGAGTAAAAATATCCTCTTGGCCATTCAGAGTGAAGGATCCACTCTATAAAAATAGAAAACAACTCGAATTCGAGTGACTCAATGGCCGCTCTCTCTTTTTTAATAATACTCCACTTTCAGAAATTATAAAGATACAATCAACCAATATGAGTGCTTACTTTCAAATGTGAGTCTCGTATAATGCATAATGCTAGTGCCAAATTGTTAGACAACCGAAGATGAAGGACCAAAGGAGGAGAGTTGATTAATTTTTCGACTCTAGGGCGATGCACGTCGATCACGTAGACGTAGGCAGCGATGGAACACTGGAAATGTATAAAGGAATTCATTATTGTCTCAATAAAACGAAAAATCAATAGTTACAAATAGTGTTCACTTAAACCATTTCGAAAACTTGGAACGAATAATAATCAACATACGGACACTGCGTCTTTACTATCTTTAAGACTTGTACTAATTATCAAGTGAGATTTTTATCCAGAATAAGAGAGATCCAACATTTTCTGTCCAATTACATGATACATGTGACACATATCTGTAATCGTGGTTTCCGTCGGATCACGCGTTCTCCAGTAATAAACTCTGAAAGTTTGTCATGTGACAAACATGCGAAAATCCAGGTGCAAGAGAAAAATTTAAAACGTATGATATTATTCTTCTATCAAAATAAGTCATCGACGTAGTAACCGCATTTTCGTCCGATCACGCGTTCTCGAATAATAAGCCCCGAAAGATTGTCAAGGACGGAAAGGTGAGAATTCAGGTTGCGAAAAAAAAAATTGAAACGCATAATATTACCCTAACAGCACAGATGTCCTGGGGACATCCAGAGTACAGACGATTGACGATCCTGAGGAAGTCCTGAGGACATTTTTTCGTTCTCAGGACGTCCTTAGAAGTCCTCAGGAGATCTTATGCTGTTTGGGTATTCTTCTGTCCAAATAAGTCATCGACGTGCTAACCGCATTTTTATCCGATCATGCGTTCTCGAGTAACAAACCCCGATCGGATCGGTGAAGAACGTTTAAACACTCGCATTTCCAATCGCCACTAACACGATGAACGTATATTTTTCACGGAACTTCCGACTACCCACTTCGCGATATACTTATTTCGAGCGGATATTTGATGATATATTTCATCATAATAAACGCGCAAGACTTGAGTATTCCCAACATTTTCAGTAATGTTCGCGCACAATACACAACAGATTGGTAATGCGACGCACGATCGACGATCCATATTTTCAACCGCCATTAACGCGACGAACGCGCGATACTTTTCTTGAAACACCTGACTATAATTTTGGCAACATACCTATTTCTGACGCTTATTTGACAATGTCTCGTCACTACGAATGCACAACACTTACTTTCGGCACTCCTGGCGATTATTTGGGGGCCAAACTCACATTCGGCGAACCTAAATCGCGGAAATCAAACCATTTCTAGAATACGTTATTTCTGCCGTAAAGAACTATTGTAGCTCCAGTGCTGCAAACTTATAGATACTTGTAGGTTTAACGCCGACGGAGCACTGCTAAATCTCGGTCTACGATAGGCCTAACAATTGACCAATTACAGTCGATTAATTTCCTCATATCTGACTGTGATTGGTCAGTTTCTATAAGAGAACTAGAAGATTATTGGCCCGTTATTCTGCATGTGATGTTCAAGTTAGTTCAAAAGTCTCCGCTACGAGCCGCCACTGTCTAACACGTAAAATCAAGGCAGGAGTATGACTCAACGATAAAATAAACACTACTTGTCTAGTTGTCGCTTCTTTCTCCTAACCTAACCTCAGTTATTACAGCTGAATGTGACATGTAAGAGCAAGTTAACAATGATTTATAGTTATTAAATACATATATGCAATGTTTAAAGTTCTATTTGAAGGAAAAAGTGTTGTGGTGAATAATTTGTGCACAAGGATTACATATTCATAAAGATTTATGGAATGCATCGTAAATAACCATCGCCAATAACCTAAATTACAATTTACTTGTATGCTAACAATAATAAAGGTTTTTTTGTAGAAAAGGAAGAAAGAGAAAGAAAAATGTATATTTAAAATAAAAATGTTAGTAAAAATCGATGATGGAGAGCACTCAATCACTATATATTAGTCTCTTTAATGAAGAGAAGAGCGAAGTCTTAAAAGAGGTAAATACAATGAAATATTTACTTTTGCGTAATTAACAATATTACAAAGCAATTTCTGTTTCGCATTAAGTTGCTCCATGCATGCGTCGATGAAATTTGTGGTCGACCAGGACCATCCTATCATAAATTCATTAACAGTATGGATTGGAGCAAAGAGGAATATGAAGGAGTTTATAAGCTGATATCAACATTGCTGAGGAATCCTGCCTCTCTAGACATGGTAGATGAAAAGGTATAATTTCAAAGAAATTACACTTATGAAAATTTTATAAATTCAAATATAATCTCGATAAATAATGTATGGCTAATATCACGATATGTTTAAATTGACAAAAATATATTGTTCTTTTGTAATTGTATAATAGATATCTCACAAATAATTGTTTCAGATGCCACAAGAATATCACGAATTGCCTGAACAAGTGCAACAAAATGTTCTTACTTGCTTAAAAGTTCGCAGGGAGCAACTTACAAATGCTTTACTGAGGGAACATTACAAGAGAAAGTTTCCAACTGTAATAGATTTTGATTGGAGATTGAAGGTATTATATTATCAGTCATTTTATATTGGTTATTAATATATTCCTTATTTAATAAGCCTTAATAGATTCATTATTTGTTACAGTTAGTGATGGGATCAAGTAAGATGGCTTCTTTACGGGAATTTCTTCTGCAGTTGGATCTCATAGTTGAGGACACGGAATCTCAACAGATAATAAATTTAGAACTGAATAAAGACGAGTTAGAAACAATGATAAATGCTTTAGAAACATTGGTGTGATAGCATTTTATACATACATACATACATACATACACACACACACACACCCACATATTTCTTGCCAAAAAAGAAAAAAATTTGATATACATTCCTACATATTTAATGTTCTACATTAAGTTTGTAAAGGATAGGTGTAATAAAATTATTACTCGTGGATACACTTGTTTCACAGTTTATTATAGGTTATAGATAAATGTAGAATAGTTTAATTACTATTATAACTGCTGATCGAAGATACTGGAGACTGTACTTTCGCGTCTGAGGCGGCTTCGATCCAAAAGTCTCATTCACAATTTTGTAGTCTCCTGCGCAAAATAAATAAACGAGCGAGGTTTGCCTCGACGGCGCCTCAGAGTGTCGATGACGATCGTTATAGAAAGGTGTTGTGGGTGCATAGATATCAGTCTCGCGTCGCTCGCGAAAAATTTCGATAAGAAGTATGCTCTCGTCGCCAAAAACGCGTCGTCGTAAAGAAGACGATGTAATTTTCGTTGTAAAGATCATTGCGGACAGATATTTCATGAGTGTGTGGTTTTTACTATACAAATTTTAATTTTACTTCCCGCCCTTACACGCACGTTATCAGTATCATAACGCGAACCGCTTAAAAATCAATGCCGGTCATGGACACGTGTGAGCATGCTCGCTCTTTTTTTTTTTTATTTTCTCTCTCGACACACAATTATTTTCCAGA